TAGAAGAATATCGGATAATTTCCAGGCAAATATTAAAATGTTCTGGAAACTTGTAAGAACTGCCAGGGGACATTCAAAACAGCCTATGATGAATGCTATAAGAGACGAGAATGGCTATATTCTGAATGATGAAGTTTTGAGTTTAAAGAGATGGAAGGAATATTTTGAAAGCGTGTTTATGAGTGAGGAGACAACGTGTGTACTAAGTGAAGTAGAAATTCCGAAGGAAGAGGAAAGAGGTAGCGAGATTAGTGTAGGTGAAATAATGAAAGCAATGAAAAGCATGAAAGCAGGTAAGGCTGCCGGATATGATAGAGTTTCACTCGAAATGCTAAGGGCTGGAGAGGAAGTGGTGGCAGGCCTGCTGCACACCTTGTTTAATTTATGCTGGGAACTGAAGCGGGTACCGGTAGACTGGTGCAAAGCCGTGATAGTCCCAGTATATAAGGGAAAAGGGTCGCAGCAGGACTGTAAAAACTACCGTGGCATCAGCCTTCTTAGCATTGTGGGAAAACTGTATGCTAAGGTACTGATTGAAAGGGTCATGAAAGAAACTGATGGAAAAATTTGGGATGTGCAAGCAGGATTTAGAAAGGGAATGGGATGTACAGATCAAGTCTTTTCCATGCGCATGATCGCGGAGAAGTTTTTGGCCAAAAACCAAAAGGTTTTTTGTGCGTTCATGGACTTGGAAAAGGCCTATGACAGAGTGAATAGGGATGTGCTATGGCAAACACTGAACTCATTTGGGTTGAGCGCTGGCTTGATACGGGCATTGGAGTCCCTTTATAGGGACTCTAGTGCTTGTGTTAGGATCAACGGGGTCTACTCGGACTGGTTTGACATCCATAAAGGTGTCAGACAGGGCTGTGTAGCTTCCCCGTGGCTGTTCAACCTATTTATGGACAGTTGTTTGCAAAATTTGAAAGTTGAAGAATGCGGATTAAGAATGGGTGAGTTAACCGTCAAATGCCTTTTGTACGCCGATGATCAAGTTATACTTGCGTCGTCGGCGGCCGAGTTGCAAATGATGGTTACATTAATGAACAGATCATTAAAAGAAAGGGGTATGAAAGTGAACGCAAGTAAGACGAAGGTTATGGTTTTTGAAAGAGAAGAAAGTAAAACGATTTGTGAAATAAGAATAGAAGGGGAGTTGATCGAGCAAGTAGACGAGTTTGTATATTTGGGCTGCGTATTTAGCAGGGATGGGAGATATGATAAGGATATAGAACGACGAGTGAATGCGGGAAATAGAGTAAATGGGGCCCTGCACTCTATTGTGAAGAGTCAAAATGTGTCGAAAAAGGCACGTATGGCAATTCACAATGCTGTGTTGGTCCCTACTTTAACATATGGTAGTGAAAGTTGGGTGTGGCAGAAGAAGCACGAGAGTAGAATGAACGCAGTAGAAATGCGGTCGTTAAGGAGTATGTTAGGGCTGAATCTTAATGACAGGGTAAGAAATTGTGTAATAAGAGAAGAGTGTGGTTTGCAAGATGATGTTGTGACCAGGATTAAGAAAGGAATGCTTCGGTGGTTTGGTCATGTGGAAAGAATGAATGAGGAAAGAGTGACAAAGAAAATTTATGTTGCAGAAGTGAATGGCAGAGTCGGAAAGGGACGTCCTAGGCGAAAATTTATCGACCAAATTGGCGATTTATTGAAAACGGGCCAAATTAGGAGTACCCTTAACCGACGAGCATGTATGCGGAGGTGTATGGATGTGAAGGAGGCGAGAGAGGTGTGTCAGGATCGTGCCAAATGGAAGTCTGTAGTCTCTGCCTACCCCTCTGGGTGACAGGCGTGAGTGTTTATGTATTATGTATATTACTTTACTGTGCTTCATTAAATCAGGAAACATACCAGATTCGATACTAGTATTAAAAATAATAGATAGTTGAGGTGCGATTGTATCTATTATAGACGCAATAACTTTAATAGAAATCCGCCACAGATCGGCGGTTCTCTTAATATCAATGGTCTTAAAATATTTTACAATATCTTTTGATGACACTTTATGAAATGTAAAAAATTCTTTGTACACACATTTACATTTTGTTTAAGTAATGATTCGGCGACGGCAGGAGAAGAATTCAATGACTTGGTGGTTAAGATCGGAATATCAGTAATTTCTCAAAAACCATTGCAACGTCCTAATCTGATTTAGTTAATTTATTGTTAAAACAACTGGTAGTTTGAATTGCGAGAGTTGACCTTACCAGTTTCACTATGAATTATACTCCATGTCATTTTAATTTTATTAGAAGAAGTCTTTATTTTATTGCTCAAATACAATGACTTGGCTAAGAAGCACACTCTTTTAAATATTTTGGAATATTTTTTTACATATTCCCTAAATTCGACGCTAGGATTATATGACCTTTCATTTTAAAGTTCATATAACCTTTGTCTACACTTATGGACTCCTACTGTCGCCCATTCATTAAATGCCTTGCGATTGTTCAAGGAGAATGTTTTAGAAGTAAAAGTATTATTGAATTCATTGCAAATGAGCTTAAATAATGTTCCATACAAAAAATTTGGATTATTTTGGTATGAAAGTAATGGAAGTTTTTTTTACTATGTTACTCCTAAACTTCTCCAAGCGATGTGCATTTACTGGAACAAACACTACTTTTTTATCTACTTGCTTTTTGTGAACATAAGATAATGAAACTAATTGTTCACAGTGTTCAGAGATCAATTTTTGAATTATACATTCATTGAACGGCTTAACATTTGTAAAAATGTTATCTATACATGTTGCACTAGATTCAGCAATACGTGTTGGCTCCAAAAATAAATTAAAAAGACCATAAGAAACAATGATCTAAATTTAATATTGGTGGAGGAAGCTTCTAGGAGATTGATATTAAACTCTTCATATATTACAACAGATTTATTCTGTTTATTAAGCTTAGCGAAAACTTCCTCCATAATTTTTTTCAAAAGTATCATATAAAGAACATGGGGGTCTGTAAGGCGGTGGTCTCCTATAAACGCCTTCGGCCGCTTATAGCGTCACGCCGTACGCCGCGTTACAATGCTTACTATAGAAATGTACTGTTGTGGTCTCTTTTACACGCTGACGTCGGCGTATGGACGTCGTAGGCGGCGTAAGACGCTTTGCGCTGCGTCTCTAGTTATTTTGAGCCATTGCAGCGTGAACGTCGTGTCTAGCGTCAGTACAAAATGGCCAAATTTAATAAAGAAAAACTTTTTCTTCAACCGATATGGGCTTAGGATGCCTTTTTGATGGCACTTTTATTACATACTCCTACACAAGCTCTACAATATGTTTAAATTGTTCTTGATTAATACGAAAATATTCAGTAAATTTAGAATCGCTGTCTTTTAAGTGTTTCATTATCAATAGCTGGAAACATCCTTCCTCATTTCTCTTCATAAATAATCGGTGCCTTGTTGCCTTTATTTTTCTTCGTATACGGTCGTCTTGTGCCTCTTCTTCAAGTAACACAAGCCGCCAAAAGTGTTGAATTTATATCCATTTTATGAACAAATATCACACACAACCACACGTGAGCACTGTCGGCTACTTACTGTTGTTTGATCGAAAGTCTAGACGTCGTCCGTTGCTAATATTATGTATTGACCGCTGACGCTGTGCCTGGCGTTCAGACGCCGATCGGAACGTTTACGCTGAAGTCGGACGTCGCGTATAGCATTTAATAGGAGACCGTAGCCTAAACGCTCACAACAATGAGGTGCTCAAACTCAACACATGCCATTTCTACAGTTCGCTCAACAGAGAGGCTCACAATATCTTTACGTTCTTTACATGATAATAATTTACTAGCTAAAATTAAGGAGTCACTAAAATTGTTTCTCTATTGAAAGAACTGACCACCTGGTGATTACTGAAGTTAAACATTATATTATGAGCTTTTAACCAATGTTCAGTAATACATAAAATATGAATATTGTTGCTATTTAAGAACAATTCAATTTCTAGATCTTTGCCTATCATGCCTTGTATATTCTGATGCATCGGGTGTAAACAATTTTTATTATCATTTTGTGGAGTTATGCAATTGCAACTATTAAGGATTTGTAACATTCTAAATTATTTAAATTATTATAACTGCTAGAGATTACCTTTATTGTCTTATTTTCTAATTTAAATTACTTGAAAATGATTCTAAATTGCATGTCAAATCATTATGCTGCTCAATAGGAGGAGATGTCTGGGTAGCCAAGTCCTTGACTGAGTTAATATATAAATAATAAGATAGCATATTTGCTATCTGTCTTAAAATATATTTGGATAGGTAATATCTATCTGTAGTCAAAAATATCTTAATTAAATTATTAATATCTATTAAATTAATTCTATTGGTATAATTGTTGGTGAAAATAAGGAGTCGTTGCTATTTACACATACTGTCCCCGACGGACATGGTATGGAGCGTTGATTCTCACTCTGATGTTTTATTAAGGAGTCAAAGCGCTTCTCATTGTATTTACATGACTTTACCAGATCATTCATGGCCAATATGTGTTCTTTTATCTCAACCTGAGCCGATGCATATTTATTTGAGATAATTTGTAAGGAGTTTTTAAGCGACAAAACTTCTGAATTGAGACACTCTATTTCAGTCTCATAACAGTTTTTCATATTTTCCACCTCAATTGAATGTAATTTAAGTTTATTAATTAATTCATGCTTTTCCTTACATATATTTATATAATTTTTTGTATTAATTTTTGTTTTAATTCACTTTTGTACTTTCCTAACATATTTATTAATTTTTACGTATTTCTTTAATTTTCTTCTACTGCATGTAATCCTTTCTGCTGTTCTTGATGTGACAAAATCATCACCAGTCTAATCGATTGTTGTGGAGGTTTTTGAAGATTTACATACTATGAGCTCATTGAACAGACTTTGAGTATGGGACGCTTTCAATTCATCTAAGTATTGTTTTAATTGCACAATCTGCTCATTAGCCTCACTTAACTGCAATGGTACTTATTATATGTTTCTTTGGTGTTATTTTAAAATAACAACTCATTTGACAGACACGCCGTTTAAATTTCATCAAGTGAAGCTTATTGGTAGGTACTTATGTTATAAGTTGATTGGTAATATAAGCTACATTTACACGACACATTCTTTCCCTTTCTAAGAATGTGTCATGTGAAGCTAAGCAGCTATTGTCAGGCCACTCTAAAACTTGTTCAATTTATGATATTAATTATTAAAAAGAGAAAAGAGGCCTGTAAGAGTAGACCGCCTGTCTCAAAATCATTGTGTTTATCATAATCTATTAAAATTTTAGATTGTATTTTAGAAAAACTAATAAGTAAGACGTTTGATATAAGTACTTATTGTAATAATGGCAAATTGTATGCAGCGACTGCTACAGTAAGAAAAGCAAGGTGTGACTCCGCCACCTTTTTCAAAACCTAATCCTAATTTAAGTGGTATGTATCTTTTCTAGATTTTATTTATTTTCTTTTAAACTGTAAACATTAAAAGTTATAATTGCAATAAAATAGATACATCACTTAATGGTAGAGATACATCATCATCAAAGGCTGTTAACTATATTGAACGTATAGCTTTGACCAGTCAAGATTCGGCGATAGTTTCAGTACCTGCTTTGTATTATAATTCTCCTGATAGCAAAAATATTCACGAAGTGGACTCTGTTTATGAAGGCACTGTAAATTTTATAATCTGTATTTATGTAGGTGGTTATGTGTAATCAAAACATAACAGATGATATTTATTAAATTAAATATATTTTAGGTAGTGCCAAAGAAGATAATCAATCTATGGTGCCATAAAAAGGCAAACGTTCTGAATCCTCATCAAGCAATGACTCATCATCGAGTAGTTCTAACAGCAGCTCGACGTCTTCATCATTTAGAAAACGCCCTCGGAAGGAAGGTAGGTATTTAATATCAATATATTTTTATCAGATTATACCTACAACAACAAACGAATTTCTGAAAATCATGCTATATTCGTATTATTTTAACGATTTTATAGCAATATATTACAATGTCTTAAAATTATATTTTGAGATTAAAAATAAACGTTTGCTTTATTAAAAATATAATCTTAATGTATAACATTAACGTTTTTCTTAAAAAATAAATTAAAAGATACATATTTCTAATTAACATAATAGACAAATTAAAGGAAAATAGTATTTTACAAGATTATACACCATAAAAAGCTTAACTTAAGTAAAAAAATACTTGCTAAATCGCTGCCGTCTGTTGGTAATGTGCCCAGAAGACTGGCTGAGTTGCCTCGCTGTATTGCGAGGCTGATCCGCTGAACAAAATATCTTCTAGCTTTTGGGTCACCAGAGACAGTGACGAGGCGTGATGAGATATCCCTGTACAAACGTCTTGCTTCAGGACACCACGGCCCCAGCGTTTCTATACCAAAGAGCACAAACATGTATCCGGGGGCTATATATTTACGCCGCTTGTTAGACTCGGAAACAGCAGCAGCAGTGCCTGCCTTTTGTGCAGTCGCCGCAAGATGTAATGGCACTAATGTGTCAACACAAGTTGCATCCCATACTAAGGAGCGCCCATTTTCCATGGAATGAGCGTCATTCCATCAGGCCTCTTGCCATCGTCCCGCAATATACCGTTTAGCTCTAAAATTGCAGGTACGTTTGCACTGGTTAAGGATCGTCGAATGACGTCATTAATGGCTGCATGACGAGGGATGCGATCAGCACTCCGCTGGCATGCCAGGCCATGGTGGCCAAGAATGTCGACCTCTTTACCACAGCGGTAGCGATGGAGCTCATTGATTTTTAAACCCAATCTCAGGCTGATAGAAAGTGAGAAAGCGCATTCAACCAATAGCCCGACTCCTTCTCCACAGATGCTAGAAGACAAGCTCGCTCTGTAGGGTTTGCACAGTTTTCTAATAGGTTTTTTTGAACCTGGATACTGAGTGGCTCATCCCAATGCCTCTGCGAAGCTGGGTTTGTCAAAAACTTGGTCCGGCCCGGCCTTATTGATCCAGGCTTCCTTGGCCTCAATCTAGCACGAGACCTCTACATCACTGAGTGTTGGGTTAGTAACTGTTCCAATTAGGTCTAACGTGCTATGAACTGAAGACAAGAAAACCGGAAGTGCTACGCTGGAAACTCTTCTGATGCCTAGACCACCAAGTCTAATCGGAAGTGTGGCCTGAACCCAGGAATTTTCATTTAATGGACAATTTATAATTTCTATCACAGTTTTGCTTATAATATCATCGAGGCGATTTAAAAATGGGACGTGCATCCAAAGAGTAGAACACCGCAGTACGTACGTAAAATTTGGCACAAAAAGACAGAATTTTAGTATGGCATATGCCATGTGTGGGCGAATTTTTTTTATACGTCTGGATGACTCCTCAAACTTTAAAATCTGTTCACTCACAAAGCATAGAAAGGGGTCATACGGAATAGGAGCACCTAGAAGGCGAAGCAATTTGGTGTTAATTATTTTTATATTTGGGGCTAGGGAGTTAAATTTGCTAACAATTTGATCTTTTTTGGAGGTGGGTAAATTCTCTTTTACAAAAACTTCGCATTTAAAAAAATTCAATTTGATGCCAATAGAACTGAAAGTAACAATAAGACTGGTTAATTCGTCAAGCACTGAGTTCGCTTCGCCTCCCAGTGTTCCATCATCTAAATACCAGACATTGAATTTTGATTTGAGTCCAGAAATAAATGGATGAATTGCCAGACTAAAAATTGCCGGACCAAGCGGGTCACCCCGCGGGCAACCAACAGCGGATAAAATTTGGTGTTTTTGTACATGAGTGAAGACGGTGAACCGTAACATTGCCAAAGGTAATGGTATATGGGAATATTTTGTTTGAAAATTGAATGACACATGTAAGTATCATGTGTATGATCATGTTTATAACCTCTAGCTACGAATAAGTCAGTCGAGTAAATATTACTTTGCAGATTTTCCCCCGGATGATACTCAAGTAGAACAGTTAAAGAAGCATATTATTTTGATTATGAGGCGCTTAGCATGACTGTGCCAGAAAACTTAACTGATATTACTGATACTGACATCTCTGATAAATAAACTATTGATGAAAATAATTTAGTAAAATTTAAAAAAATGATTAATGAAGTTAATATAATTATTTAGGTTCTTGATTTATTTTTAATGTTAAAATCTTTGAACTATTACTGTAAAATTATGTTTCATAGGTATTTCTGGAGGAACATTATCGTCTCCTACGATACTTCAAACAAATAACAATGAAAATGTGCAAAACCAACAAATGGATATGCAAATCTCATATAATTTTCAAGACGATTCTGGTACGATAGCTAGAAATACTAAATTCCATGATTATGCTAAGTCTGTTAAGCATAGTTTTTATATTTTCCACGAATTTCTAACTATACCTATATCTGGTCTCAATATTATTTTACTTAATTCTAGGTAAAGAAAATCGGAAGCCAAATTCTCATTCTATTTGCTTGAACGAAGCTTCAGAGTTTTCTGCAGATAGCGGTGACGAATATCATCCACCAACATATCCAAGGCGTGAGAGATCGTCATCGACGTGTTCATCTATAGTTTTTTTTAAGTAGTACAACATCTAAGAAAAGAGGAAAGAAAAGAGTGAGAAACCAAAACAAGTGGAAACAAAATATCAGAAAAACTTTAGGAAAAGAGTTTGTATCTAAAAAGGACAATAAAATAGAAGCTAAAACATGAGATCCCCGTGCCATAATTGTAAATTTTCCTGTTGCGATATTTTCAAGAGATGAACGTCAACAAATATTTGATACCTATTGATTTTTAAGATCTTTGCAACGTCAAAGAGACTTTCTTAGCGCTTGTATAAGCATTAAAAACATAGTATGCCGTCGTGTAAAAATCCTGCAAAGCCTAGAACGCCTAGTAGTTTGTTTTCTTTGAAAAGTAACTCGACGTATGCAAAACATTTTTATTAAACACCCTTGTGCTAGCACAACGGACATTACGTACAGTAATTGAAGCAAAATTCTCATATTCTGGAATTGTGCTGACCGATGAAAGGGATAAACCTGGTAAACAACCAAAATCAGATCCACAAGTGATAGAATCAGTTCGTAAGCATATCAATACAATCCCAGAAATACGAAAAGAAAGCCATTATTTATGTGCAAATACCAGCCGTGTGTTTATTGCTGGTGGCTTAACCTTGGCTGCTTTACATCGTGATTCGTGACTATGAATGCCAGCGCAGAAGTGCTGGTGAAGAAGCGGTTTCTCTGTCAGCCACAGCCAGATCTTTAATACGGAATATAATATTTCGATCTTTATTCCAAAAAAGACCGATGCAATTTTAGCGAATCTTACAAAAATGCAGAAGGTTACAGGAAAATGAACTTGAACAACGGCATATAAACCACCAAAGGGAAAAGGTGTTAAGTCGTACAGAGAAGGCAGCAAAGATTGCACTTTCGCGAGAAGCACAGAGCGAAGGCATTGTGGCGATATATGACTGTCATAACAAGCTCAGTTACCAGTGCCCATCGGCAACTCGGCAGCGTTTAACTATAAATCAAAGTTAACGAGTTCCTACTTAATTTAGTTGTTAAATTATTAATATTAAATTGCTACGTTATTCATTATTATATTTCAGATAACAAATATTAAAAAGGATTCAACAACTTGTTACTTTTGGCACGAAGTTCCTAGTTCCTAGTTCGAATGTTATTTTCTATAGCGACAATTGTTGTGACCAACAAAAAAAAAACTTGTACGTACTCGTATAAAATTGTTGATCGCGAATATTTTAATTAATTTATTTAATTATTATAATTTCTAATAAATCTGGTTTATTTTTTAATATGTGTGCAGCATGTTTAAAAAAATTATGCTATCGCAAAACTTGCCATAAATTCTGTGTGCCACAAGTTTTTAATAAGCGACCACAGTAAAAATGAAGGTGATTACGTGCATTCTTGGATTGAAAAAACAATAAAAAGAGCCAAAAATTCTGGACCCATCTACGTGCCAGATCAATATGTTAGTTTGATACGAGATGCTAAAAAAAGAGGGAATCTCTTCATTGTCCAGAAAATGCCTTTCAGTGACCTTTACGTCTTGAAGGCATTGGCTGACGAGCAAGTAACTAATTCCAAAAAAAATTGTAATGGGTATACATTGAGTTATAATGTAAACTCGTAGTACATAATAACTCAATGTAATAAAAATGCAATAAAAATTGCTGAGTTAACAATGAATCAATTCAATAAAAATAGTGACTCTCATGAATTTAAAACACCTTTTGAAGGAAAATGGGTTCAAGCTAAGCTGAAATTGTCACGAGCGCGAAAAAAAACGTTAGAAATAAATTTTAAAGCAGCATATAATTAAAAAATAAATATTTTCGATTAAAAGAAAAAAGATTCGTTACAATTAGTTCATTCTAACATAGTGCCCAGCTATTATGAAGGATTTTATAACGGTCCTTAATATAATAAGTACCTAAGATACTTTAGAATTGTTTTAATATTATATTATATAATATTATAATTAAATTTTGTTTACATAATCTTAAAATGATTGCTGTACAATAATATTATTTTTTCTTGGTTATTAAAAATATTTACAGCAATTATTTTAACATTACTTTGGTAAATAATTATTTATTTAACACTATAATTACGTACTTCTTACTCCTATTATGATAAAGACTGATATTATAAGTCTAAATTACTTAAGTGAGTAGGTACAATCTTCGTAACTATGTATAAATACCCTAATCATACACTACATAGCAATATTTCTAATTATCAAGCTTTCAAGCATCGGTATATTTCAAAGCTTCCTAGGTAGGATGCCAACTATTTGGATGCACACTCTTTAGAGCAAATAATCAGTCCTTATTTTTAACTTCATTTGTTACTAGCTGTTACCCGCGGCTTCGCCCGCATGGTCACTGGGAAATGAACTATCCATTGCTTTTTGAATTGAAAGAAAACTGAGTTTTATAGATTTGTCAGAGATGCAGCCATTAAAAGGAAACTGAGCAAAATTGATTCGTCAGCCTATTTAAATGTTTTGAAACGCAGCGTACAGGAAAGTATGAAATAGCCTGTTTTGATTTGATTTGATTGATTGAAATTGCCAAATGGAAATGGGATATTTTTTTAATTAAAGGAAACTGAGCATAATTATCCGTCAGGGATGCAGACTTTTAAAAAGAAACTGAGCTAAATTGATTCGTCAGAGATGCAGCCTTTTGAGTTGAAAGGAAACTGAGCTTAATAGGTCCGTCAGAGGTGCAGCATTTGGAATTGAAAAGAAACTGAGCTAAATAGGAAATTTTGAATTGAAAGGGAAGATCTGTGGGAATTCTGATTAATTGATTGTGGGAATTCTGATTAATTGACTGTGGGAATTTTGGAAAAAAAAAACTAACTGAACACTATTTTAAGACGCTACTGTACACAATGTTATATGTTTTTCCATTCGGAGTAAGAATGTGGAGATTCTGGGCATTTGACACACGCGAACATGCTACATACAGCTGACCATGAGAGAAGCACGGTTTTTTCTAAGTTAACCCCCCGCTACCTGTAACGTTTGCCCTTGCGCTTTATTAATTGTCATTGCAAAACTGAGCTTGATAGGGAACTGCAACCTTTTGGATTGAAAAGGAAGATCTGTGGGAATTATAGGGATCCGTGTTATAATAACATTTTCACCTTTTCCTACGCCTGTCAAAATTGTAGCACCGATTATGTTCCGTCCAAGGTGTGTCACACGTAGCCTTGTCCTGTTACATAACCGAGGAGCATCTAAATTTCGCATTAGCATGACTGGGACGCCTAATTTTAATTGCAGCTTATGTGAGGGCACACCTGACAACACTAGAGAATTTAGAAACTCTACGGGATATGAAGTGCTCTGTTCTGTGTCCATAACTGTGTCTACTGACAAATACTCTGTTATTTCTCTTGCTACTTCGCTTAATATATCTGAATTTATTTTGTTAATACTCTCATTTTTTGGTGCAAGAATCGCCCTTTCACATAACCATTTGTCTTCACGCATGTTATTCGTTAAATCTGAATAAACGCTCGCAATTAATTCGGAATGACTCTGTACTAAATTACAAAAATATGTCGTCAATTTAACGCAGTCCTCAGCATCCGTTTCCAACCGCCCATCGCCAATTTTTAATAGTGTGTCAGCATAGTTTCCAGCATTGATATCATTATACAAATGCACTCTCATATTCGTAGTTAAACTGAATTTTGTCACCTTGTTCCATAAAATAGACGACTTGAGGCATGCTTTAATTTCATCTGCAGGTGTGCCCTTTTGAATGACAGGTAAAGTTTGGCGAAAGTCACCAGCCAGTAAAACCACCATTCCTCCCATTACATCGGTATTGCTGCGCAAATCCTGGAGCGTTCGATTTAGTGCTTCTACAGCTTTTTTATGCGACATTGTACTTTCATCACACACTAAAAGCTTGCATTGTCGTAGCATTATACCTCGTGCACTATTTTTGCTAAAGCTACAGATCGGCGATTCTTCCTGGGCTAGATTTAGAGAGAGTTTTAAAACAGAATGTGCAGTGCGGCCCCCCGCTTAGCAGCGTGGCGGCTATACCGGAGGAAGCTACGGCCACAGCAATGTTTTTATCTTTCCGTACTTGCGCTAATAATAAATTTAACAAAAAATTTAACAAAAATGTCTTCCCAGTTCCTCCAGGGGCATCTAAAAAAGAAAAGTGCACCATTTCCAGATTCAATTTGTCCTAATACTTTGTCAAAATCTCGTTTTTGTTTGAGAAGCAAGCGGGGTACAAATTCGGCTACTTGCTGCTGCAAAGCTAGGTATATCGTAGTTTGTTTCACGTATCATTTCATTACTTAGTTCATTTTCCGTTGTTCGCTGAGGGCTTATCATTCTAAAGTCGCTTAATTTTTTGCCTACCATTGCCATTACTTTATCTTCAATTTTTCCAAGTGCTTCATTATAAATGTGTTCATTGTATGTCATGTTCACGTGTGTCTGTTGTAATCTTCGCAAAATATCTTCCACCGTGTACTCTTTATATTTGTCCCACAATTTGCATTAGATAGCCCGCAAGATGATATGAGAGTTGCATAAAAATCCCTAATTTTGGCTGGTGACTGGCACTGCACAGCTTCCTCCTTGGTTTCATCCCAGTGATCATCTTTTTCTAAAAGATGCAGAGCTTCAGATGCTTCTCTATAAGTTGCGCATTCTTGACCGTTGACAGTTTTAAGGTCTTTGTATCCTGTAGGACTCCGAACATGGTGCAGCAGCAATCGTAAACAGAAACATTCAAAATTAGTTACATGGACGATATACACACGAGCAAGGGCATCTGATGACTTTACACCGGGCCAATTTGCAACTGGCGCGCCTGTAATACGGCGATTCCACTCCTTCCTAGATGTGTTCCAAGTATAATAGCGGGGAAATTCAGAATATAACAACGTTTTTGCAAAGGGGTCGGTTTGACAAAGTTGAAAGAAGGCTGTTAGTGTAGTTTTTGGCGGTGATGCAATTCTTTCATGGAAATTTCTTTCGGTGAAATATACACGTTCTGCATTTTCTAAGTGCACAGCAAGGTGAGTAACTGTTGGGTGCCTTTCGTGTAAAGGGGAAGCCAAGGAGACGCCACGCTGCCTCGTTACTGCTGACGTAGCGCCCTGCGTGAAAGGTCTGTACTTCATTAACGGGATTTGCCTCACCTTCACTCCTGAGATTAAATATTGCGTGGTCGCTTCCTTTATTTATGTACTTACAGATATACTTGATTGCGCGGACAGAGCTACATGCTTCTACATTAATGTGGACATTAAACATTTTACATAGAATGGGCGAATACGGGACAATCCAGCTATTATCTAAGGTTTCGAACGCTCCAGAGCGAGATTTGATTGTAACTTTGCTGCCACCATCTTCGAGAGCTCTGCATCTATATAAAGGGTAGCCATTGTCATTGTGCACTGCAGATTCCGCCTGTGGCATCGCTTCCGAGCGGTCGCATCCAGGTAGTCCGCGCTTTCGTCCTTGTACGGTAGTGCTCTCCCGCTCTCGCGCCTCCGCTGTCCTGCTCGCGCTGTACAGCGCCGACGCACCGGTGAGTCTTTCACCGCTAACAGTTCTTGCGCCCCCTTTCCTCGGGCGGGGAGGTTTGACTGACCTCCGCTTGTTACTGTTATTTACTGTTAT